TAATGTGCTTGATAATAATTTTAAGCCAGGAACGTCTCTCCGAGTCAAGTCCCAATAATTATAAAGCTGAAGAGTTTGTGGAAATGAATGTTTTTAAGAAGGTTGTTTATTCAGTTGTTGAAACGTTCTTTGTTGGAATCGTTCTACCAGAGTTTTTCAAATTATGATCGAAAAGATGAGATAAGAAACTGAAAATATGATGCAGTCCTTGTTCTGGGACTAAGAAGATAGTCTTATATGCGGTCTCTAATTTAATGATATGATGTAGCAATTTGTTTAAATTCACCATCTACACAGTAGTTAAGAGTAGAAATCTAAGTCCAACGTTTGTTTTGTTATGGTCGGCCATAACGATGAGTTTCGCGATATTGACTGCTTTTCGTCTTTTCGTGCTTAGTTTGTCTACTGACTTTGCCTTGTGCATACACTTAAGACGTCAGCTTTTTTACCCTTTACGGTGGCTAATTTACAAATTTAAGAGGAGTTTAATTTCCACGCCATTACCACTGATTTCAAAGTAAATTATTCTGAACATAGTACATCAAGCATTATTTGCAGTTTTAACCGTGTCGTTTCGTTCCGCGTTAAAAATTGCGCTAGAATTAGTTAGGATTAGTCGCCAGTGGAAGTTACATCTAGCATAAATTTATGTCGGCCATGTAGAAACTGCAATCACTCGTTTTCAACTCGAACATGTCAACTCGTCGACATTATTGATGAACTCATTGGATGTACATCTGTAACGAGAGGATTTTCAGTTGCCTAGCTTACTGTGCTTACGCTATTGAAAAATATAAATTCAACATGAAAACTGCGGAACTTTCGCTCGTGTGGAATTTTTTTACCATCCGTACCTGCGTTGTTTTGAAAGTGATTTATAATGACAATCGTTGTCAATTCATAACATGACCTGATCTTTTAGATAACTAATAACATTACCTAGTTACCAAAAGTAACTCGTCCATGCAAAGAAACATAATTTTGAGGTTTTAAACCTGCTAATTAGTTGGCGCCTTGTTTTGAACTTGTTTATTTTGAATGTTGCTTCGATACATTAGCTCGGCTCAGAAGTATTCAATTTTTATTTGTCATATATTTTTTTTAGTAGTTTTCAATTCTTAACTAATTTGTGACAGTGTGCCCAGTCAGTTTTCTTCGTGCCCTGACAGGATTGCGTTTCTTGGTGAGGAGTATTTTAACATGTTTCGAGTACGGTGCAAAGAGCATCTTTCGCTCGCAAACGAGGCTCATTTATAATCCAGTTGCTTTCAAATTTTTTGAGATTTGTACTTTCTTACATCATGAGTTTGGTATTCATGATTTTCTTGGCTTTTATACATCTATCAGCAGTCGTCGGCAACCTACAGATGCTGTTGAGTTGTTTCAAAGACGAAAAAAAGTACTCGTTTCTTCAAAGAGGCAGAATGTTTCTCATTATTCAGTGGGTTTGCCAGGTCACAATTCTCGTCGCTGACACAGTAGAGTCATGGAAAGTATTTGCAAGTCACCTCAAAAAGATCTGTAATATCTTCAGGGTCCTGTCGCTTTCTGTGCTGTTCTTCCAAGCTTGCAACTTGTTGGCGATAGTAACCATCGTTTTGGAAACCCCAGTAAAGCGTGGAAACCGAGAGTTTTCGACCAAACTCAAAATATTTGCAGTCCTTGCTCTAGGACTCACTGTGGGCTCAGTAACAATGTGGTGGTACAACTGGTTTTCCTCTCAAAATCTTTCTCAGATGGCCCTGAAAGCCACTGTTTTGCTTCTGTCATCGTGGTCATTCTACTGGTGTCGATGGCGGCACGGAATACCAGCATTTAAGACACGCCAACGGAAGAACAAAAGACACGAGCTTCGGTTTGGAAGATCTTTAAAAAAAAGAAAAAATTGTATTTGTGGTTACTGTGTTAATTTTGTGCTCGAAATTAATTTTTTTCTGGGAATTTAGCTCCAACTCAACCCCCTAGTAAAATTAAAGATTTACAAAAACCGATGGTGTTAAAGGAGTTTGCCTATTCAATTATTGAGACGTTTCTTGTTGGAATCTATCTACCAATAATTTAAATTGACCTTATTTTTTCAAGTTACGAAGAAAGGAATGATATGAAATACATGCCTATCTAGGTATGAATGAATGAATGAATGAATGAATGAATGAATGAATGAATGAATGAATGAATGAATGAATGGGGGTGAATCATGGACATGTCTGAGGTTACTTCGCTATAAAATTGTAAGGAAGATCACATAGGCACTACATGAAGATGTACATCTCATGAGTTCATCATTAATACGTCGACGAGTTGACATATTCGCGAGCTGGTCGAGTACCATGTCGGCATTCAGTAATTTTACATTGTTAATCCTTTCGAGTGTTTTCCCATATACGTAATTATGGTTATCTCTGTAACGCAATTCACTACTATCTTTTTATATAAGGTACATGAAACAGTATAATGCAGTTGTAACGAGGCATTTTAAGGAAATATGGTGTTACCATCATGTAGAATTGATTCAAGAGCGGACTTGAGTCCAGCTTAATAATTATTGAAAGCGAAATAACGTGTTTTGTTTCACGAAAGCATGTTGCAAGGGGTCTTCTATTCAGGGAATAAAAAACCCTTAGTGGGGAGGGGGTGGGCTCACTTATAAGGTTCTTTTCTTTGCATTGGGTTAGTTACTTAGGTAGACTTGATTCCGTTTTCTCTTTGCAGGAAGGTTGTCAGGAAAAGCGCAAGTGTACGGGACAACCGCGAAAGGCATTGTGGATAGTTTTTAGGTCCCGGGAGAATCACACACATGCAAAAATTTCTGCATGCTCTTTGGCTGAGAAAACTTCCATTGACCCCAAACAGCGCAGAAAGTTGAAGTGTACAATGACATTTCATTCAAATCAGATGAAGAACGGAAAAAAAAGGACGAACTCACTGACCTTAATGAACGACGAAACAATGTAAACCCAACGAGAGCAAATTCGTGGTGACCTAAAGGGAAAATGTGTACAACGTAATATTCTGATTTTAGATATATGAAAATTCATATATTTGCACTGCGGTGGAGAGATGAAATTAAGAGATCCTCGCAGCTAAGCACACTACTGAAACGATTAGTTGTAAATAGGACCTGAAAAAAATTCAAGCCCGTACGGGATTTGAACCCATGACCTCTGCCTCTACCGGTGCAGCGCTCTACCAATTGAGCTAACAAGCCAACTGGGAGCAAATGGAGAGATGAAATTAAGAGATCCTCGCAGCTAAGAGCCTGAACGTACGTACGGGCCTGAATTTTTTTCAGGTCCTATTTACAACTACTCGTTTCAGCAGTGTTCTTAGCTGCGAGAATCTCTTAATTTCATCTCTCCACCGCAGTGCAAATATATGAACTTTCATATATCTAAAATCATCATTCGTCACTTGAATGTTTATTTGGACCCAATTCATTCAGCAGCTCCCATTTGGCTTGTTAGCTCAATTGGTAGAGCGCTGCACCGGTATCGCAGAGGTCATGGGTTCAAATCCCGTACGGGCCTGAATTTTTTTCAGGTCCTATTTACAACTACTCGTTTCAGTAGTGTTCACGTAATATTCTATTTTGTTCCTCTCGTAGACATGAAATCACGACCTTTAAACGTCAGAAAAGTGTTTTTCAAATCGAGCAAATCTGATCCATAAGAAGCTCCCAATTTCTTTCCAATGAGTTCCCAGTAGTGGGATCCCTGTGTCGGTTCAAAGGTTTTTAGGATCGCTAGGGGGGTGCCAGAAAGAAATGTATAGCGATTGGACAGCTGGAAACTCATTCGTTTATGCATTACCCCCTACCCTCCGCCCCCATCCGACAAAAAGACAAACAAACAATCACCTTGAACTTACATAAAATACTGTTTTATTACTAAAAACCAAGACACAATTCTAATTATATACTATTTGTCTATGTACAGTCTAAGTGAACTTTTAACTTTTGAAATTAATTACAATTCATTCTCGTCAAATTTCCAAGGGTAAGCCTCTCCACATGACAGTGCCTAAATTGAAAGCCATTGGCTTTTATGAATGGGAAGCGTTATTTCTTACAGATACAGAAAATATTTTTTTTTTATAAAGGAGCAATTATAAGGCATCTGGTGTTTTCATGTACCAAAATTCACATTCACTAAGCTCTGCGACTTTATTTGGTTGTTGAAAAACTTTTTAGATACACGTAACTCATGTAGAAGTAACTCATTCAATATCAAGGTTGATGACAGTCACCACAAGTAATGGCTTGTGCATTAAGGATGCAAATTTAACCTATTTCAAGTAATCAAACGTTTTTACTACAAAATAAATTTATTACTTTTCAAAATTAGCCCCCTAATCTATCTGAAAGGCAATGCCGTTATCAATTCCTTTCCAACCAAAAATTAGAGATGACTAAATCAATGCTACCTTGTTAACTAGCCCGATACAAAAAAAAAAACCCTCAAAAGTGAGCACCCCCAAAAGCATACCACCCTTCCCCCCCTCAAAATGTACCTATCTCTGAATGATATGCTTCCCCTTAGTTAAAATCAGACAGTATGTTTTTGCTCCCAGGAAAGAATTATGGACATATTCTATTGAAAATGTGACAGGATTGAAAAAACAAGGTAATAATACTGGATACTAATGCTAACCCTAAGAGCATTCTCCATTTTCAGTGCAAGCGACTTCACATGGGTGCATTCCATGAACCAACCAATGTAGAGTAAGACTCCACTTTGAATTTCTTTCAATTTCTTGTTGACATTTTTTCTGTCAACACTTTATTTTCAAAAACTTGGGTGTGGCTTATCTGCAAGTTTTTACAATAAGCTAATTTCCTAGACCTATTGCTAAACAAAAATTACAACTTTACAGTGGTGCCTCTGTAAAAATTGGGCGGATTCTTACGAAAACAAAGGTTATGTTTGCTGTCTCAATATATTACTTTGGTAATTTACTCATTCTTCTCTTTATCCCTGGGAGTCGCTAACATTAAATTTCTGTAAACAAGTACTGCTCCAAAATGTGCCCATATTCCCAAACTTTGTTTTCAATTATTGACCCTTACCACCAAAGCCCTTTCAAAATTTTTAATGTCTTTCAATTCTATGGCTTCTGATGAACAACAAACAGTGCAATGTCCAGCCACTGAACATACAGTGAGCCTCTGTATCGTGGATGGGAAAATTTCCTGTACACGTAGAATGCACCAATGTATTTGTTCAAATTTCTTTTGAGACAAAACTTGCAAAAAATTCATTTCTGATTCCCATTGACAAAAATGCATGTTTTGGTGAAGGGTACATCTACTTCGTTACTCTCATGGTCTATAAATCAGTTAATTATATTCTATTTCTTTTCAGCTCTCTCTTCCACTAAGTAACTTGTTTCAAACCTCAAACAGCATCTTAATAGCCTAGAACAAGCAGGAAAGACAGATGGAGTATTTAATGCAATTTCACATACCAGTTTGGGTATTAAAACTTCCTGTCACTCAAAAAATACAGTTAAACAGGTAATTAGCTGCCAGAATATGAAAAAACAGCCAACAGACTATACAAACAACTCATGCAAATCCCTCATAAACTTTTTGTAATCCACATCAATACTCTGATTAAAAAATGCACTTGATATAAAAAAGGTCACGAGTATAACTATCAAGCACTTACTTTCTGCATAGCAACAAGCCATGTGAGTGATTGCTTTCTGTGTTCCTCAGGTGACTGCACAACTGTGAGTCTCACTTCCTGCATTTCATCTTGTCGTTTGTACTTGAGAATGAGACCCCTGACCCCAGTGTTGTCTGCACACAAAAAGGACAACAGTTTACCTCAGTTTTCAACCATAAAAAATTGTAACTTATTCCAAACAAAGTGGGAACACTTGTGAAAATTGCTAATCACTCATCTTCAGCTCTTGATTAACAAACTGTATTGATGTTTGGTCAAAATGCCAAGTCAGTTATTATTCTTGTAAATTAATAGAAAGGGAAGGCAACTTCCTTTATATAATAGCTTTCAACTTGTAGATGTAACAAACGATAGGTGTTAGACCTACAGAGCAGGCGTAATTTTGGCAAGCACATACCCAGTCTTAACCAACTTATGGCCACCCACTTTGATTTTAGTGGCAGTGAAAGGCTGAGGAAAGAAATAAAATTTGTACCAAGGAGGCAGTCGATGGTCAAAAATAAGAAGAGGGGTGGGGGGTAACGATTACTATTCTTGCAGTTTCCCTGCCCCCTACCCCCTACCCCTATCCTCCACTCTTAACTTCAAATCAAACATGGCTGGTTAGATAAGGATTGTGAGCACTGAAGGCTGAGTCAGAGCTTGCAAAGTATTTCAGTTGTTTTATAAAATGCTACAGAATAATACTGCTTTTTCACTGATCAACACCACAACCAAGGACAAAAAAAACACTGTACTCACTTTAGATAATGAGTGAACAGAACTTACTGATCATAATATAGTTCACATTTAGCCCTTGCTTACCACTCAGAAATATATGTTTTTTTAACATTCTTAACCTGTTTACCCCTACGAGTGAATGCCATCTAATTTCTTCTTACAGTATCACTTCTGAATCAAATATTGGGGTTAAGAGAATAACTGAAATGATCACCAACTAGAGAAGTTCCTGATTGTTTGACAAATTCTCCTTCAGTTGATAATAACCCTAGTAAAGTGTGGAGAATATGCATATTGATGTTAAGTTGTAAAAGGTTTAATAGGCAGCCAGAAAATGGCATAAATTTTCTTGAAAGTGTCGTTTTCTTTTATTCTAGTTTTTCCTTTTTCCATTGTTCATTTTTTTCTTTAAGGAGGAACTTTTAGATTAGATGACTAGATAATTAAAATCATATACCTTCACTAGCTACAAGCTGAGCTGAAACAATTTTCATCAACATCACTGGCTCATGGACTGCTCTATCTTGATCAGAACACTCGAAAAGCAGTTCTCTGGTGAAAGCAAATTTCACAAGATTAAATGGAAAAGATGAAAGAAAATGAGGATTAGCAAGCTGACATTGATGCAATGGGTAATTGCTGAGGGGTACTGCAAAGAAATGTTTAATTGATCACTTTGTATACATGTAAATACACTGATTATATAACTGAGGGTATGGGGTCTTTCTATTTTTGTCCAAGATGAAGTAAAAAACTTTGTGCCCTGTTGTGTCTAGTCCCGGAGTTATGCTGTAACTACAGGCCTGAAAAATATATATGCCTGGTATCTAAAAGCTGTTTGTTCACAGGTTGCCAATAAATTGAAGACTTATCATTACATCTTTAAGCCAAATGGGAAGATTAACAGCCCCACTCAGATGTTCACTTTCTAGGAGAAGCATGAAAGCATTTTTTTCCTCTTCACTTTCCCTTCTGCTGACCCTTCTGGTTTTGTTGCTTAATTTTTGCACTCTAGCCTCCATTATAAGAGAACACCTGATTGCAGGTTACTCTCATCAAGTTTCCTTTTACAAGCTACATGTTAAGATTTGTTCTGTCAATCCCCTACCTTTGTGAATGATGTTCAAGTTTGCAAAGGAATCTTAAGGGTTCTGATTCATCAATAATAAAATAAGCCCCTGTTGAAAGACATAATGTGACAACTGCAAAGTCAGATTTAACCTTAGGTACAGTTCTATTGTTTAGGAAGCCCAAGAATAGCTTTGCACTCAGCACAGAAGGATTCATTATTTCAAAGTAAAATCTCTAATTAATTAACGATTACTCACAGCAATGGAGGTGACTAGCAGTGGATTTTAGCATACCAAGCTATGAAGCTGCAAAGTAAATATCCACCCCTTTCATTGACACTGAGAACACTTGTTTTAAAATGGACCACAAAGAAACCAAAAAACAGAAATAAAACTTTTGATATGCTATTTTGTCTCTTTGGCTGCTCTGAGAAACCCCAGAAACCAAAATTATTAGTTTATTTCAATCTATCAATATACCAAAAAAATGGCCAGAAGTAAAATCCTTGATATGCACTTTTGTCTCTTTGGCTGCTTGGAGGTGAATGGTACTTGCTAATCATTTCTGAACTACCAGTAGCCAATCAGGTTGTGTGTAAAAACACTGTTTGTTTCCATGGCATATGCAAATAATTATTCTTAAACAATTGTTCCCTGAGCCTACAGAGAAAAGTTTAATTGCTCAGATGATTGTTGGAGCAGCATTTTCTTTTATTTTACCTAGAGAGTATCTTCTCTTCAAAAACGTTGAGAGCTTGCACCACAGCTATCGTTATAATTATCACCACATCTTAGAAGGTAGTTGTCACGCAAAGGATACAGACAGTCTTGCAGGCATCTTGCCAGAATCACACTGTTACACAATTCTAGTGTTAATGGTAAATTACCCTGACACCAGCTTAATTTAAAAGATGCATTAATTCTGCTGCTATAATTGTGATTCATTGCTACTGCACATTTTTCCCATTAAAGGCTGTAATGTAAAAATAACCGTACACATTAAGATCACATGCACCAAATGCATTCTCAGCTCTGTCATGTTTTCTTACTTACCATTACACAGAGTCTTCAAATGTCTTTCAAAAAACTCCTCTTCACGTTTGGCAATGTGGGAACACTCCTCACAGACTCTGACAGGGTCAACAAAACTAAGCCTTGGTAGCATGACATTATAGTTGCAGCACTTGCCACAGAAAATCTTTCCACATCTTCTGCAATGGTGCTGTAATGCAATTCAACAGAAAAAAACATTATTTTTTTTGTGACATTTTACACTTAAACTGCTTCCTTAAAAGCCCAGAGTACCTCTGATATTGATAAGTAGACTTCTCTCTCAAGGCATTGATACAATCATATTCTCTCTAAAATGTGTTTTCTCTTCTTTCACTTGGTTACAAACATTATAGATTTATAAACAATTACACTGATATCATTTTGCTACTAGAAAAAATATTTTATGTGGTTGAGTAAAATATCAAAATTTGCCTGTGGTCAATTCGTTGACACTGGTGACAATGAAAAAACACAATATTTCAATTTCAACTTAATGACTGATCAAACCCTTCAACCCCCTGAAATGATTGACACATAACTTCTCCTTTTCATTCCAATATATCATCTTCCAAACAGGTTATGAGATTAGACTAGCTTAACAGCTAGAAAGCAAAACCTTCATTTAAGATCAAATTCTCCTGGCTAATCTACAGGGAAATGTACAATGGTCAGTAATGAGAATTACTCATTGGATCATGAAAGAAGCTTCAATACATCAGTTGAAAATTATACCATCAAGTAACAACAATTGGACAGATTTAACAATTGAAAATATCATGTTAAGTCAGTGTTGTTTAGCTCAATTAATTGACCTGGGTGACATCAATATTCTGCGATGGCTAAGTGACAACAAGCTCTTGGAAGTGACAGGGTGAAAATCTGATCACACGTTAGAAAGTGTAGGAACATGGAAACAACTATACTATTGAGCAGAAAACTATTCTATCAATTAACAACTATTGGAGAGGAATAGGCACTATATTATGATATGTTAGTGTCGCTCAGCTCAATGAATTGACCTGGGTGACATCAACAGGACATAATATTCTGCAATCGCCAAGTTCAATAATTGTTTTACTTAATAACTCTTGAGAGCTTTAGGGTAAATATATGATCACACTATAGACAGCATAGGAAAGGACTGTACCATCTTTCATGGAACAGCAAGAAGTGTAACTAAACATGAGGAGAAAACTATTCCACCCATCAACAATTACTCAACAATAATTTTTCATGGAACGGCATGAAAGCAATACAATGTATGAGCAGAAAAATATTCCATCAGTTAGCAACTATAGGCCTGGAGGAGAATGAACAAAATATCATGAAATGTCAGTATCACTCAGCTCAGTTTATTGACCTGGGTGACATTGACAGGACACGATACCCTGCAATGGCCAAGTTCACTACCTGTTTTATTATTAATTTTGATCGCTGAGCTGATAGGTTACGATAGCAGTCTTTCATTTTCCACCCAAGAGCAATGACACAAACATGCATGAGTAGTAAGAGTAAAACATTGTTTTCAGTTTTTAATTTCTAAAGATCCTCTTACATGATAGTGATAGTTATGGAGTTTCTGTATTTATTTAGGTATAAAAATGTTTTGGGTCCAACTTAAGAGTCATTTCAGCCTGAGTCACTAGGCAAGGGTTAAAAATAACTCTGATGAGGGCCTAAAACATATATTTATAACCAAATACAGAAAATCTATTGCTATCATAATCACTTTAGATGGAATTGAGAAAATTAAAACTGAAAAAATGATGACAAAACAGTCTGAACAATCATGTACTCCAACAAGTACGTAACCTGCCAAAATCTCTATTTTAGCCTATGTAAAGTGCCACAATACCCAAAAAAGTGATAACAATGCAAAATGAAGCAAAACACGTATAGGCAGAGCAAAACACCCATAGATGGGCATTTCCAAGTCACTTGATAAGATTTGTCTTGCAGAGAAGAATGCCAAAATGTGTCAAACAATAATTAAATTAATATCTGTAAAGCTATTTAAAAATGTCCATTAACATTGCAGATTGTTTTTTAGAGCCTTAACTGTTCACAAGCAGTAATTAGTACTTTGTGGTTCGAGAAATTCAGTGAATTATAAACTTCTTCATTAAACATCAACCTGTAGAATATTATTGAGTCGAAAGGCAGTAAGTATTATTCAGACACAACAAGTTTGAAGACTTACTGTGGCACTTTGAACGCTAATATCACTTTCCTTCGGAAAACATCTAAAATCACGACCCATTACGGTACATAACAAGCAACCTTAAAAATAAGCTTCAACAAGTTAGAAGTTTAAAACTGTTGATTTAAAAAATTGAACATTACCCTTCGATGGCTGAAGTCAAATTTTCGATTACACTTCACACAATTCGGAAACTGCAAAAAAAAAAGTATTCCAAACGTACTGAGATTTGCAACATGATATAGAATTCAAGAGAGGAAATCGTTGACAGGACCATCCGCAAGAAGGGTATAGAAATATCAAGAAAAAAAAATACCTGCGCATCTTCTGTCCAGTGAGGCTCTTCCAGGAGGAAAGGACATCGTTCACTTTCAGAAACAGCGACCATTCGCAAGCCACTTTTGCCTTTAACGAGCTGCTTTCCTGAAGACATCTTGGACTGAATAATAGGTGGTGTAAGCATTCCTATTGTGTCTTAGGCTCTGTTTAAATAAGCATCACAACAGCATGTATGCTAGAGAGAGAATTTTAATGTCTTATGACGCAGCTGAGTGGGCTTTGTTGGAATAAATACTCTTTACTGAGTTTCAATAAGGATTCTCTATCATTTTGTTTCTAAACAGTTGAAAGTATGTTGTAAATAAAAAATGAAGGAGTATGTAAAGCCATTCCTGCAGAGGGAGAGTAAAGACTGGGACCAAGTTGTAACTCTTCCTTCTGGGAAGAATTTTTGTTTACGTAGAAGGAACTGAATTATCGATCTCTGCTTCGATGGCCTGAATTGATTCCATTCAAAACCGATCTCACTTTTATCGTTTGAGAACATAAATAAATTGGCTTTATGTTCTGTTTGACGAGTAGCCACTGAGCAGTAACAATGAATGTCAATCGAAGCTTGATGTTATTTCTTATGGCATTTACCGCGTCTTTGAATTTCCATGCCGAATGTTCATCGGCGGTCAAACACCAAGAAAGAGCTCAGGGTAAGTTTCACAATGTGTATTGTTAGCTTTAATCAAAACCAGAAACTTTCACTCTATGTTACGGTATTTAAAAACACAGAAGCAAATTTCCCCCTTGGCTGCTTCATACTCGATCGAAAACGAAAAGGAATTAGCTAGCTATGTGCGTATCATATGATTCCGCATGTTTATTTGCACGCACTTTCTCTTTTTCGTTAATCCAAAAATGTACAGCCACAGCTATTTTTATTGCGGCTAGAAAAGCAAAGAGTGAAAAGTATTTTTATTGTGGATACGCTGTTGATCCAGTTGTATTCACTGCACTTTCACTAAAATCAAATCGAACATGTCTGGTTTTGATGTCCAGCCGTGTAATTTTGTTTGACTGATTAGCAATGCAGGTTCATGCATACCAGAGTCTCCACGCTGCAAGTTTTTCCTTCTAGGTCAGTCTGCCAGCAAGCATTCTTTGTCTAATCATTTTTGAAAATTTAGGTGGTGAAGTAAAAATTGCAGATTTTAACGTAAACTTTTGAATAGTGCAAGCGGAAATGTAGTTTATTTTATACGCCCTAAAAATATAAATCGAGACCAATTCGAGACATTTACATGTGAAGCACTCCACACAAGAGCACAGTCATTCTGTGCATAGTGGCTTATAATTTAAAGTACTTTGTACATTATTTTAGAATGACTTCACACAACATGATTCAGATTTTACTATTTATGACTTATGCTGAAGACAAAAAAGTGTTTTCAATCTCAAGATATTTTTTATCTTTGTCTTAAACTTGTAGGCAGGTGTATATAAAAGCATGATTGCTTTAAATCAATAAATATCAACTTCAAGTTGTTTAATTCCACAAGCATCTGTTCAACTCTTTTTTTTACTATTCAGCATGGGCTTGGATTGGAGGAAGTAAAATTAGGAACCAACACAGCACAGTGGATGGCCAGGAGTCTTATCCTGGAGCAAGGGATGGTGCAACAAGCTGGTTTCACTCAAATTCAACAGTGTGGGTGTTTGGTGGAAAAGGGTTTGGACTAAAAAAATCCCAACCCTCACAACTGCCTATGCTAGATGAACTGTGGTCATTTGATATCAAAAAAAGACAATGGCAGTTTCATCCTTTTGACAACAAAACTTTCAAGGGTCAGAAACCTTTGCCATGTTCGGGATGTGTATCTTGCAGTTACCAAAACAAGGCTTTGGTGTTTGGATCTTCAGGTTCTTTCATTTTTGATATGGGAACAATGACATGGACAGTCTTGCAGGACAATAAATCGTCCCCAGTCCCACGGAGTGATGCTGCTCACTGGTGTGATGCTGAGAAAGGGGTGCTATGGATTTTTGGTGGCACAGACTCAGGGAAAAATCTTGATGATTTCTGGAGTTTTTCATTCAAAAATTCACAGTGGAAAGAACTGAGACCCAAGAGTAATAAAAGCACAATTCCTGCTAAGTGTATCAAAGCGACAACCTGGATGCACCCATCTGGCATTCTGTACATGTTCGGTGGATCATGTCATGGACGACTTACATCGTACTTCTGGAGTTATTCACCTGGAACATTGGAATGGAAAAAGTTTGGTGGAAGTGAAGGTGTCCCAAAGTGTGCTGGAAGGTTTGGGCAGAGGGGTGTTGCATCTAAGGGAAACTATCCGGGTTGCAGGAATGGGGCAGCATCCTGGATAGATAAGCATGGTAATCTGTGGATGTTTGGTGGATCAGGTTATGATAACTTTTCAGTGTCTGCTTTCGCAATGCCAGGTCTTTTGTCTGACTTTTGGATGTACAATGTCTCCAGCCATCAGTGGATGTGGATGGGAGGATTAAGCAGGGAGGAAGGTAGACCATTCTTTGGAGAAAAAGGAGTCGCAGATGCACGTAATATCCCAGGGCCAAGAGAAGGTGCTGTGTCTTTCTCCTACAACCATGAGATGTGGCTCTTTGGAGGGGCAGGACATGATGACAAACAATTTGATGGGCTGCTTAATGACTTGTGGATGTATACAACATTCACAAACATCACCCCAACACAAGGTACACAGTTGCCAGGAGATACCATTAGTATCTCCTTTGGAGTTAGAGTTCTGATTGCCCTCCTCGTCATGGCGTTGGGACTAGTGGTGTCGCTATCCATGTGTTACAGCAAGGAATGTAAGATTTTCAGATTCAAGCGACATCTCCGTCCAGTTGTGAAATACACACCTGTGAAGGTTGAGACAGTGCAAGTACTGCAGCCAGAGACAGCTGGTCCAATAAACATTGACCCAAACAGGAACCTGTAATCATTGTATCTTTGCCATCATGCTTTCAGCTGCACGGAGTACCATGTGTGTGTTTAGATGTGTTGAATAACGGGATTGATATTTTCAATCAATATAAATAAGGAGTTGACACAATTTAAAACTAGTTTCATTAGAATTTTTTACGCTGGAAGATCTCAGTACATAATGTGTCTGTACAAGTTAAAAAAGCAATATGAGATAAAGGAGTAAAGGGAGAGCTAATCCTCTAGGTATGTGCTTTTTCTGTTGATCTGGAACAAAGAAAAACTTGAATCAAGCTAGTTAACAAATCATTTTGATGTGAAATTAATTATAAACTTCAAAATAGATGCAAGAAAAAAGCTCATAAATGTATCTGGATAGAAAGTGAAAGTCATCAGTCAGTGTAATTACATGTATTGGTTAAAAAAAAGAAAGGAACAGTTACTGTTAAATTAACACTGTCATTGTTGTAACCTTATAATAGTTTGGTGAATTATCTTCAAGAGTGCAGAACTTTTGGGACATGGTATGTAGTTATAGAGTACATAAACTGATATTCTTAATGCAGGTTAGACAAATAAATATTATTTAAAGTTTGCCGCAATTGATATAAAACCAATATGGACCAGAAATAATCAAAATGCTTGTAGGAAACCAGGTCACTCAAAGTGATATTCCAAAGAAATAGTCTTAAAGACTTGTTAGAAGTTTTTGATGTAAGATAGTGAATAACATTGGGTAGGGTCATCATCCTTTTTCATACAATTTATTATGCACAGTTGTTGGAAGATAACACCACTTAGAACATCTGGTAAATTAAGACAGCATGAAGTTATAAAATGCATGCCCAGAACAATCTCTGGTATTTAGAGCTGCGTTTACTTTTTGGTATAAATTATTTTTGACTCAGGCTCAGGGACTTTTGTAGCACTGCAGTCATTTTTTTCTTCAAGAACTGCTTTTTTTGGTTTTTAAAAGAAATTTTGACCTTAACTACTGAGTTAACTGTACATATATTTATCATATTTAGGGAATAAAGTTTGATTGTTAAGAATTCTTATTTTATCATTTCCTCCATATTTAGTCAACTCTTAACCCTTTAACTCCCAAGATCTTATTAGTAATTCTCCTTACTGTCTGCCGTATAGTTCTTTTGGTGTTATTTTGGTGAATTTGGTATTGGATCAACCGATAATCCCCTAATTGATATCTTTCTTAATTCTCATCACTTGTCTGCTTGATGTTGGGTTGAAATAACAAGGAGAAATTCAGCCTTGGTCACTCTTGGGAGTTAAAGGGTTAACCCTTCAACCCCTAAGAGTGACTAGCATATAATTCCCCTGGGTCACGCTTAAAGGTCTTGAGAATAAAGGAAAAGATCACCAACTAAAGAAGCTCTTGATTGATTAATAAATTCTCCTTGTCATTAACAATGAAAGGATAGAGTACAGTTAGGAGAATATGCATACTGAGTTTAGGGTGTAAAGGGTTAATGTATTAAACGTCAATAATTTTAGTGTTCACAGTAAACTTGCTAGATGATTTTCTCACGGATTTTAAGTTCCTCACCCTAATGAATAGGCAAATTGATTACATATTCCAACTGGAAGGAGACAGAACCAGTTGGTTATGTGCAAAACAAAGCAAGGAAATGCTCTTAACCCTTCAACCCCTAAGATTGACTGGCATTTAACTTCTCCTCCTTCACCAGATCACCCTATATCAAACATTAAGGTCTGGAGAATAAAGGAACTCTTGTTAGACAATTGTTAGACAAAATCTCCTTATCAGCACATTAGGAAATGTTTAAAGAACAGTTTAGAGAATATGCATACTGATGTTGGGGCATAAAAGGGTTAGACAACCATGACTGAATTCAGTGAGAAAAATAACAGGGTTGAGGACTTTACTCCAAAGTCACTAATGTAACACCACCTGGCCTGACCATGCCTTTGTGTGCCAAAAAATGCAAGAACAATATATTATGTACCCTCTTCACCTTCTATTGGCATGGAGGCCCAGAGGCTCAAGCAAATCACATAAAAAAAATTATAATGAAAATGAAAGTAAAAAAGCTAGGTGACCATGGAAGCAAACAAGTTTTTTATTTACCCTCTCACTCCCAGATCTCATTGGTAATTCTCCTTACTGTCTGTCATACAATTCTTATGATGTTAGTTCAGAGAGTTTGATATTGGATCCACTAGTAATCCTCTAACTTACATTTTTCTTTATTCTCATTACTTGTTTGCTTTATATTGTATCGATACTGTGAGGAGAAATGCTGTCTTGGTCCACCACAGGAGTAAAGGGGTGAAACAAATGGTCTGGGAATCAAACCCTTGACCTCTTCCTGATGCATCCAGTACTCTTAGTAATTCCTTGGCCCTGTTCCTATCTCCCCATGTCAGATCAATAGTACTGAGGATAAAATTAAAGGAAGGAAAATGTACTTATCAACTACTAATATTAAACTCACTCTGAGGTAAAAAAGGCAACCCCTTCAAATACATATCCTTATGTCTGTTATGCAAATAATTTTTGAATTGTAATCTCTAAAATATGATATAATAACAATTTTATGATGAGTGTAACAGTGTATAGATAAAGATGATGTACCATATATAGTAATGCTTCACAATGCTTTACTGAAAAGATGTCAAAGACATTTGAAAAATGGTACAAAATTGAGCAATAGTGTTTTTCAAGTTTTTCTCTCTCTTGTAACTTGAAGAAATCTGTTCATATTCTATATTTTACAAACATTTTAAAGATAAAAATACAATTGATAATACCTTATTTTTTCTAAACATGTATTTAAAATTTTGAATGTCATTGAGAAAACCTAAATTGCTCACCCATTTTGTGGATATTAAACTTGGAAACATGTAACATTTACAGACCACAAACACCAGGTGAGTTGACCAATTGGCTAGGCCAAGTAGCCATACCTTCTTGGTAATAAACAAAATCTAGACTTGCAATTGGCTATTTTTTAGTTAAGGAAACCATTTAAAATTGACAGGAATCACGTTGGCACTTGATCACTTGAGTAAAACCTGTTTAACATCAACAACATTCTGCCCATCTCGCACTTTACAATCGATTTGCAGGTTCTTCAAGCATGTCCCCCACTTGACGTGATCCTTTTCCTTCAGGGAATACATTTTGCATTGTACTCTGGCATTCATCTCTTTGCCATCTTGAAACTTCACAAAAATTATCATGTAAAGTCTGTCTTTATTTTTGGATGTACTCATCCCATTTGTAGACCATGAGCATTCATACACCGAAGATCTTTCATCACTTCTCTTGAGTTCATGCTTAACATTTCCTCCACCAATAGAAATTTCACTGTTGTAGAAAAGTGGAAATAAAAAATAAAAATCAATTTACATTCACCTACCTTCAGCCTTTAACCTTTTAAACTCTAAGGGCTGGTTATTTACCTGTGGTCTAATGCAAACCTCAGTTTTACACAAGCAATGGGCCTTAGGTATTCTCTATAAGAGGGTTGATTCAATAAAATAAATGTCTTCCCCAATGCTAGCTTTTGTTCCACTGTAAGCTGTTCACAGAAGCTAATATTCAGATAAAAGATTCACTAGCAAAATTGACAATGGTTTAGAATACAGCTTTGTTAAACAACAGCCTATCTTTTTTTTAGATAACTGTCCCTAAGAGTAACCAGCATCTACTTTCTCCTTAGGGTAATACAGCTGAATCATTCATAAAGATTATGAAAACAAAGGGAAATGATTGCCAACCTTGTTAAACAATTCTCCTTGTCAGTAACAAAGGGAATGTATAGAGGAGAGAAAGGAGAAAATGGATACTGATGTTAGGGTATAAAGGGTTAACCACTTAGAGTTACTGGCATCTGATTCCTTCTTATATCAATAATGACAACAAATTAAAATTGAATGTAAGGAATGTAAAACTGATGAATCGATATAAATATTTTTATTTTAAATTCTCTCGGGATTGCAGTGACATTGACACCTCAAAAGCATGAACCATGAATGACAGACACTGTGACTTATTGGGCAGTGTTCATAAGTTAACCACATAACCATAACTACAGTGATTTAGGTCTTCATTCTTTGTGGCAAATCTCTCTCAGAGTAATTCTTTTCTATAAGTTAAGGTTAAAGCTCATGCAAGCTTAAGTCTGGCTCGTATTCGGTGAAAGAACTTCTTATATCTACGGATGACGTAGAGCAAAGAATACAAATAATTTAAAACACACAGACTATGAAAAGAATAGTATAAAACTTCACAGCTTAATCGATGCTTTTAATTTCACTTAGGTGAACCGCGAGCTGCTATCAAATATACATGATCAAAACATTTCTTCGGCTAAGAATGCAAGAAAACTGCTTCGTAGGTAGTCTTACAGGAACGACGAAAAACGCAAAAGTTAATATTTACGATTCAGTGACAAGGAAATAAATGGTGTTTACCCCAACCAAATAATTATCTCACGTACCTCACTTCCTTCGATGGACGAAACTCAAATGAAAGTTTATACGACGTGTCCACTTGTAGTTTCAGAGTCTGAGTCTCCTTAAACCTTTCACCATCAACTTTAAAGAACACTGGCGAGGAATCCTCGAATCTTGTGATGTGGATGTCCATTTTGAATGCACTTTCTTCTGTCCTAGAGGACGCCATATTGGAGGAGTGGTTTGTCGGTCGGTCACGCAATTAGGTTAAGTCACGCGTGACATGTGACATTTGCATCAGTTCCTCTCCATCTTGTTTACTTGAAATGACTAAGCTAAATGATTCCTTTTTAGCAACCTCTCCCGCGTTAAGTGACCAAGCTAAATGAAATGAAGGTACAGAATTTGAATGACGAAGAGTTGAAAGCGTACATGTAGCATATGTTTTATTTCACTCAGCTCCTTTTAAGACACATTGTCACATTTCCGATGTAACGCCAAAATAAACGTGAGGTGACCAAAGATCACAGATGAGGTGCGGTGCAAGGACTGAATTTTACTATATAGAGGTGAGAAAATATCTTATCCTCTTGTTCAAATTGGTTCTAGCTTACTGTGGGTTTCATTTATTTTCCCATTTTTACATGTCAGGAAGCAATTTGAAACATTTCAAGTAACAGAAGAACTCGGGTCGAGATTGCAGACGCAAGACGGTGAAGATGGCATACATTTGTAAATACGACGTTTGTAATCAGCATTGTGCTGTTGTTTACTTATTCTTAAGACTCTTCTGACACCTGAAAAAAGGTAATTTGTCCAAACATGTATGTAGGTTTGAGTTGTTCAAAATCAGTATTCAGTATCCGACCAGTATGAATGTTCATTGAACACGTGGGCTGCGACTGTAACTGTTTCGCGCCTCGTCCGCACTGCGTCGGAAAGGGGCAAAAAGGCGGAGGGGGGAGGTGGTAGTGGGTGAGTCATGTAGACGCAACCCTTGACTCAAACCAAAGATTAAAAGGCCAATTATTCCCTGATAGTTAATATACATGTTTTGTTGGTGTTCCTAGCGTCTGTTGCAAATTTCAGTCGAACTTTACTGGCATAGTATTTACCTAATAAGGTCCGTGTGTTACTACGAAAAGGGAAAATTCAGACACTACTTTCTAATATCGGCCATCAGCGTCGAAAATCGGACATAATTAACCAAAATGGGTCAATAGTGTCACAAATAGGACAATTGTGTCTAAAATCGGATTTTAATGATCAAAATCGGACACAGTAGAGGGTAATAGCCCTACTGCACACGTTTTCTTCGAGAGTTCTTGAAATACCCCATCGATATTCAATTTCCCTTTTATTGTGAAATGGAGGGGGTAAATGGATAATCTTTGGTGACAACGCCATTCGCCCGGCAGGAAATGTATTCGCGTGATATCCTCTGAGCCTTAGAAAAAATTATTGAATTTAAGAGTTTTTCCACTACCAAATAATTCCTCGCTGAGGAAACCTTTATTCATTAGCAATATATTGTTAGGATCTGTCCAAACGATAATCAACATGTACAAATTGTGTATTGTTCTGGTTTCACTGTTGTCAAAGGCGAAATCCACCTGTTCACCGGACAATGGAAACATATCGCAAGTTTTGTTTAAGATAGCCAAAAAAAACAGTGTTAACTGCCATTTGATGACAGACTAGGAAAACACTTCATTCACACCCAGGATGCGCATAACCAGTTCTGCTTTGCATTGCCTTGGAAACTAAAAATTCGCACAGCTTTTTTTTCTCTTTTAGACACAACCACCACAGTTATCTTCGCATTTAGTGAATACTGATCGATTCCTCTGACATTTAGCGTTGTGGCTTGAAAAAGACGACTGATTTATGGTGAGTTATTTAACACAAAATCTATTAATTCGTTAATTCTATTAATAAGACTTATCTTCTCATAGGATTGCGCGTTTTCAACTTAAATGAGGAAATACAAAATAGCTTCATTTGGACTACAAATGAAATTAACTTTAATTCGACCGCTCTAGCGTCTGAAGAAAAAGTTACTCCCCGGTGAAAACATTTAGGCAAATTGGCTTCACTAAATTGATCCTTTTACCAAAACCAATAACTTGCGAAAATATCTCTCGTAAAAGTAATCTCTTATTCTAGATAAATCATTTAGAAGATTTCTTATATCTTTCAATGTGAGGCACGGTGTTCTCATTTACAGGCGCTATCGCATAAAATATACCGCTCAAAGTCGCTTGGAATTCTTGAAAACACCAATGGTAAAAAGATTGCTCTGCCGGTTTGAAAACACAACTAGAGCTATACGATTTGTTTAACCTGAACTATATGTAGATACACTTTATGTCTTTTTGCTCTAACTGTGTTGTTTCCTTTTGTTGAAAAAATATCGGTATTTCAAATGATTTCCCTGAGAGTGTAGCACTCGTAACAAACGATATTTTTAAACAATGAAAAATACTTGGGTAAAGCAACTTTTTAAACAAGAATCGTTTTCCTAATTCAGATCGTGGGTGCAGTCTTATATTTAAAACTAAGAGACGAAATGCTGAAGCAGATCAAAATGTTGTTAAAATGACCTTAAAACGAAATTTGGTGAGTATGAAATTGTTCGTGCGTTTTGAACGTAGAGTAATTTGGAGATTTAGAGAAATATGGATCCTGTTTAACTGATATGATACAAGGTTACAGTTTTCCGATATGCAAATGAATGCATATCAGTTCAATCAAATGAATGCATATCAGTTCAATCAAGATGAAATATTATAAATTTTCTTCGCTGAGGATTTCAAAAGACAAAAGTTGAAAACAAAGAGATTGATGATAGCACTGATGTCTGAGACTACAGAGCTGTGATAGAAACCGAGACTGATCTCTTTCCAATTTTCCTTTAAATTCCTTCCTGTGTCTAATTTTTCTTTAATCGTCGGCTCAATTTACTGTTACTAAATCCCGGCATCAGCCCTGTTTGCCTTGTGTCTGGGTAGTTGTTTAACATACATTTAACAATGATTTGACCGAGAGGTCGGAATAAAAAGTATATTAGCGCCCATGAAAAATTTCTCATCATCGATAAATCTTGGTGTAATTGCAGTACAAATGAATTTCATCCCACGAATCGTATTTCTTTTGAATATCTCACGTTACAACGACCTTCCCACATCAAACTGTTCTTCAGCCAGATTTCTCATTGACTGAGGACGTAGTATCAACTTTTTTCCAATGATTGTTTAATGTGGTATTTTATTGATGCACATAATGATTTTAACGAATTATGATTGTTTTTAGTGAATTTTTTGTTACCAATATTGCTCCTTAGGAGATGGACTTTCGTTTTTCAGTATTTCACATCGTCGTATGAAACTATTGACCAAGCGAATGAAAACCGTATGATGAATAAGATTCAAGTAGTAATGGTGGTGCTTTTTTTTTTCTTCACAAGATGAAAATTACATATCTTATATTAAAAATTAAAAGGTTAAAAAGGAGTAAAAATGTAAAAGAATATAGTCAAAAGCATGTAAATAAATCGAAACTTACAAAGCTACCTTGTATTTAAAAATTAGACGATTTACATAAGAATCTTTTGAACGGTCTGTGTTAACTTTGGGGCATTGATATGATTTGGAATTTCTTAAGTTATATTTTGTCTCCTTTTCCTTGAAGTTAAATTTTCGAAAAAGATATAAAACCAACTTTGGCACTTTATTGAAAAAGTTTCTGTCCTGCTTTTCTATTTGTTCACGTGCGTTAATGGCCCTAGATATATATCTTTGCTTACGATACCTATCTACAAGACAATGAATCTAGGTGTGCTCGGTTTAAGAAGCGCCATACAATAAAAGATCGTATATGATGTTACTGCAAAACTAAACTAGTGAAAAGGTGGTCCATAAAATGTTTTATAGAATGATGAAAATGGAATAAACGGTTTTGGAATAAAGAAGAGTGTTATTTATTTTGTTGTGATCGAAGGACGAAGACAGGAACCGAGTCCTCCACAAGGGGTCGTATGGTGGACTTTGCCTTTGCGTGCTACCTCTGAGCTACAGAAATTTAACATACTGAAGGTATTAATTTTGTTAGGCTTTGCGCCAATTTCCTGTGCAAAGCTTTTAAGAAAAACATTAAAACAAACGTTGTCATGCAAAATCTGTGAAAAAAAGAAAAAAATTGAAGGGAAAAAAAAAGTAAGGACAAGGAGTTTTCGTTCACACAGCTTATTTAATCACGGGTTTCCGACTGATTTTTTTTCTCTTTTTTTTCGATTTTCAAACACTGCGACTTACTCGCTATTATAGTTGTATATTTTGACAGCCTGAAAACACACCACCTAGCCTGTACAACGTTCACGTATACGCCGCAGACGTTTGACCACTTTTTTTTCGAACCAGACCTCTCAATCCGGAGTCCAGCACGCTGACCAGTAGGCCGAAAGGTCGCGGGCGATATGATAGAACTGCACATCTAGATCGAAGAATTTCCTTTCAAAGCTTTTTAAAGCTTAAAAGGGAATTGTTTTGACTGTTCAAAAACACGAATACAAAAAGTCCACGCCATCATTTAAAATGCTGGGCAGTGGTTTTATTTGATATCCCTTGTTTACATTATCAGTTCCGGAAAAAAATTTCCTCGAAAGCTCTGGGCAAATTCAGCGCACAAAGGGATTTGAGAAAAAAAACTAAATCAGATCTTTTAGAGCTAAAATTCCAATTAGTGTCAAACAGCCTTCCGAAGATAAAAGGAAATATTTTCACCCTGGGAATAGTCAGGAAGTTTTTGTAAGGAAAAAGTCGCTTCAAGTCTTTATTACAGATTAGTGATATTTTCTCAAAAAGTGTAATTCTTTTTGAAGTACCTTTGTTTATCCGAGATGTTATTGAAAATCCCTTGTAGTTTTAAATCGGAAATTTGATTAAGGAGAAGTAAATAAATACGGTTTTGCAAAGAATGGCACTCTTACTCGATCTACCAAGAAGAACAAAATGAAATGGTTTTCACGCAGATTAAGCCAGAAAAGTAAAAGAGGTAATTTAAGAAAACCTATTAAACCACTGTTATTCACCTTCAATACTTTGTAGCTAATTTAGAACCCACTCATGTCCACTACAAATTTATTTAGAAACAAATGTCCTCTGATGAAAATTGAGTCGAAGGTTTTGAGTTTTGTCTGCCTCGCACTCCGGTAATTAGATACTTATTTCATTCTCTGTATAAAAGATCGATTCA